CCGGTGGCTTTCTGGGGCTGGCGGATTTATCCTGCCCTGGGGTAATAGGATTATGTCCCTTCTCCCGAAAGGGGTAATCCGGGTGCTCCCCCCGCGCGGGGCGGTGCCAGGGGGGTGCCCGGATTAGGGCGGCTGGGATGGGCCCTGCCTGGGGACTGGCACCTCCGTCCGCCCGGGCGCAGAGCCGCAGGGTGCCCACGGCTTCCACCCCCTTCTCCTCCCAAATCCCGGGATGCTTCTCCTGCTCCCTAAGGGCCTCAGAGCTGCCCGGCTTGCGGGCAGCAGGAAGGAGGTTTCCAGCCCCTCGGATGGGCCGGGGCATGGGCGGCCTGGGGGCACCTTGGTCCCTTTTTCTGCTGGAATTTGCAGCTCGGTGGATGCCGAGCGGCCCTGGCCCACCCTGCGGCCGGGGGACAGTATCGCGCTCGAGCCGCCCGTAATCCCACACACTAAAGCAATTACAAAAAGGTTTAATCCCAGCACACTTTAATTGCACTTCAGCCCCTTCCACTAATTGCAATTAGTTAGACTCCAGCAAATAGGATTACAGGATCCAGGAGCGCTGTCCGGAGGCTGGCGGAACCACCTACTCCTCCAGCAAAGCCCGGGGTCCTGTTAATTACCGATTCCAGCTTAGGTTTCATTACCAAGTGCTGCTAAAGAGCTGCCCGGGGCCTCACGGGAGGGACGGGACGAGTTTCTGTGAAGGTCCCTTGGCCACGGGCTGAGTCCGCTCCATCAGCTGGGACAGGGGGAAGACGCGGCTGTAGGAGGAAGTTAAAGGAGTTTTGAGGCCCAGCGAGGAGGGAAGAGCATCACTAGGTGCAGCTGGGAAGCCTCGAGCGAAGCGGCGGGGGGGGGGGGCGCGGGAACCACCCCCTTGCACCCCGCACCTTGTCCCTTGCTCAGGGCCAGGACGGCGACAGGAGGGGCCCGAGAGCCCTGGGGATTTGGCGGCGGGTCGGGAGCGCTGCCCTCGGGGAGCCCCACGTGCCAGGTCCACACGCTCCGGCCTCCGGGCAAATCCCCCCGGGAAGGCCCCGGCTCCTCCGCGGCTCCGCGGGGCTGACGCTCGTCCGCAGCCTCATCCGCACACACGGAGCGCCGAGAAGCCCCTAAGAGGCTTAGGGAGCTGAGGAAGAGGTCGGTGGCTAAAGCCTCCCAGCCCTCCTCCACCAAGGTGACTGCGGAGCCGCGCAAGGCGCTTAGAATTCCAGCGACCGAGCGCAAGGACGCGCAGGAGCAGCGGGAAGCGCCGGCGCATCGAGGACACCAGCCCTGCCGCAGCCCTCGGCGGAGGCTTTTGCAGACCCCGAGGGTGAAGCCTCTGGCTCCCCATGAGATCCAGGGCTCCGAGTTCGCAGGAGCAGCCTGCGAAGCGCCCGCGCATCCCGCGGGAGGTTTCCCTGGGAAACCAGGAGCACAACAAGGCTCTGCACGGTCTGTATTGGAGCAGCACATGGATCCTGGGGCCTGTGCAGGGACCCAGAGGCCCAGGGAGAAGCTCACGCTGCCGGTCCCACAGCTCCTTCCCACCAACACAGTGCACACTAATAAATACCATAAATAAAACGGGCCTGGACCCCACAAGTCCGCGTCAAAAACGACTCCTGGATCACAGCCAGCGGGTTTCCCCGTTGCCCTTTGGGGGAAGGGCTTTTTCCAAGCGGCTTCGCGGCGGGCCGGCGGCGTCAGTCCCTCTCCGCGCGCAGCCGGAGCTCCAGCAGCAGCAG